TCGGGTAGTTGGCGCAATTCAGGAATACCCGACTACCTGACTCAGGTCAGTTGGCGCAATTAATGCCCGCCCAAATCTTTCACTGTCATACAATCAGACATTTCCAGGACTTACCCCTTGAATTTTCAGTAGCATCTACCCACTTTGTTAAGAATGCTGACAATAGGTAGACAAACCAAGCTACAGTTTAATTTATTCTCACATATTTAGCAGTGAAGTATACAATCTTCTCTTGAAATCTAGATATATTTTAAGCAACGCAAAGTTGTCGACAATATACGTTGAACGCAATAACTGTACATGATGATTTCTTAATTACACGTTTGAGATTGCGCCGAGGTCGACAATCATGGGATCTACATATAATCTCGACGTAATTGATATCACAGACCACAGCTGAGCTGTTTGTGATGGCTTTGTAATTGTTGTCACTGCTTATCTGACATCAGCTGATTCTACTGTCAGTCCTCACTTCCCGGTCGTCCTGTGTCTGTGAGTCCTGGGGGGATTATTTGCCCATATTGTGTGCGCCCAACTATCCGTAATCGCCGAGGCACCTTCTTAATTCAATCTGGCTTCTTTCAGTTAATAACAAGGTATCCTACTGACCCTTATGTAGCTAGGGTAAAAACATTGACTTAATACTCAGGTACTTGTAAGAATCTAAAATACTTAAACGATTACATTACCAGTATTGATGCTGGGAAAACAATATATGATATATTTAAAAATTATATTTATGTTTGTGAGATTTTTTGTGTGTTTTTTATTAGCCTAACTAAAGAAATATTGCATGGATAGATTTTTTAGAATAGCCTAAATCAAATTCTTGTCACGTAAAGATGCTGATAGACTCAAAAACGTTTACATGTCGTTTTTCTAGTCATACAATTTCCTAAGAACTTTTCATAGCTACGCATACCGTAATATTTTTCCCCAATCATCGAAATACGTTTGTAAACTTTTTTTAAATGTAGGGCCTACGGTTTTCTGAAGTAATCAGTAGGCTAAGTCAAATTGCCAATATAACGTTTTGCATCACCAAGTAATCCAATTTTCATTTAAACCACGTATACGTTACCCTAATTTAATTGTTTTCTTAACAAAAACTGAACAGTCTTCCTTTTCCTTGTTTTCAGACTCTATATTGTCAAAAGTTATTGCAAACCACCAATTTATTTAGCGTGTTCGTTTCCAAGTTAATTGTCAGAGCCTGGCTTGAGCACGCGCTCAGTTGGGCAAGTTAAATATACACCAATGACAGCTATTTTGGCCCACTGTGAGGCTATTTGTGGTTTACGAAGAAAAAGAAATACCGCTCCATTGCAGCTGGGTCGACCCCAAAGTCAAATCTGCGGAATGCGAAGATTGCTCGGCCAATAGCAAGATGTACAGGGTTGGTAAAGTGATTTAGATTTCTCTGAATTTGAACTACTTATAACCTTCAATACAATGCAAAACCTATATGATGCTAATGCAGAAGGTTGCAAATGTTTTGTGTCTCGTATCATGTAAACGTGTAAGGCTATCAAAATGTTCACACACAATTCATTAGGATTCATTATCATAATTTTGGTTTTCAACATTTCTTAGTCTCATTGACACTTCAGTCTGTATTTCAACTAAAGTTCTGAGAGTTTACTGTTTTACTGCACACCACTTTGTGCTAAACTGCAATTAAACCGTAAAGGGTGTTTTTTCTAATCAGAGATGATTCGATTGTGGACTATCACTTTAAGTAAACGATTCGAACAAGAAACAAAACGAGCTTTAAATTTTAAATCATGGTGAGAAGTTTATTTGAGCTTTTCGGAGTCTATATAAATACTTCGGTCTTGGTCTTATAGAAGACTACAGTACGGTAATAAGCATTTCCCTTAACCAACTCTACCAAAAATAAATAAAACGATCAAATAACATAACTAGGGAACAAATTTGATCATCTTTAGTGTAACCTTAGCAAAGACAAGTGCGGCATCTTAGCTTCTACACGTTTGTGCTTGAAGAATATCGCTTGCCAAGTAATTAAGTATGTTGAAAAAGTTACACAATTGTTACCGAATTTTCAAGAAGGCTAGGTTTATGAATCCTGGACATATTTTTACCAGTTCGTTTTTTAATGACTTTACCTTGCAGGTTATCCCATTAAATCAAACACAACTGTTCCAAATAACAAAAAAACTTTTTGATCTCTACATTTGATAGCAATAGAAGATGGAGACGCGTGGCTTGCACTAGGCGCGCCTCACCAAACACCTCCATAAAAGATATTTAATCGTTACGTTTATACACCCGACATTTATATGTTTACAGAGTTATATTCGAATCGTCCCGTCAAGTCGATTGTGCTGTGGGTAAAATACACCGGTTTTCGAATGTGGCTAAACAGATTGATTTAGCACCTATAAAACCCACTATCGGACTCTGACTGGGCAATACTGTCGTCTACCGTAGGCGGATGCGACATCTACAGCCTACATTTCGTAACCGAGGATTTATAAGCTGAAATCCGATCGTTGGAATAACAAACAAGGTGTGACTCAATAATTTAAATTATTGAACTAATTTTCAGGTGGGAAATGTTGCGGAGGAAAATTTAGTGAGTTGTGACATTTGATTGGCGAATCTGAAAACCATATAGTTGCCCCTTTTGAATTTTCTCGTCTCCGGTACAGTAGCATAAATTTGAGTTTTTGAGTTTTCTTACGCCATTCGCATTTTAACGTTTTTGTATGAAAACGGTGTGATCACTGGTCTTTGTAAAAAAATTAGTCTGTAGCTTTTTGATTGTTCGAAACTAAACCCAGTTGCCATAGATCATTGGGCTTAAAGAATGATCTTGACTAAAGAAAGGTCTAATCTTTGTCGGTAACAAAGCTTGGTAGGCATACCCCTCTCACATTTAGATTAAAATACGTACATTAAGTATGAAAGAAGTGACGTGATTCAAAGATTACCTGCCTCTTTACATCAAGAATTCCATTTATTTATTTCAGAATTTTTGTTTATGATATCGCGCATTCATTTTTTCATCTATGAAGTCTTTAATTTTCAAGTTGTATACAATTACTCCGGATCTACTCCAGAATTAACTAATTGTACAACAAAACTTTCAGGTAATCTTACATCACAAACGCTTACCGGTAGGTAATTAATTCGAAAAAAAACTTACAAGAAAATTCCTTTACTCAGGTACATCAGACGTTTTCCCATTATGATTAATTGATAAGGACAAAGGACATTGCCTAGTTGAGGCGATTCTATAAAGCGAGAGTGAATATTTCATGTACAATTAGCTGTCTGTGAGCTGGTCACGGAACCTCTGCATAAAGTATAAGTGACTATATAAACTACGTACAAGAGACTATCCAACAATACTGTGAGTAACATTTACACGGACAGCAGTAGATAGTAGATACAGTAGAACCTTGATAACAAAACTCTCATAGGGATTATAAAATAAGACTTGTTATCAAGGTTGACTTTATTTCGCGGTTTGCAATAACATGTGATTAGGGGTAAAATAAATTCAATGGGATTTGAAAAGTACCCTTGTTATCAAATGTGACTTGTTATCGAGGTTCTACTGTAGGCTATAGTACACAGTTGCGCAAACTACGCTATCGTTGCACTGTTTTAGTGTTCACCTTTTCAATTCCAGAAACCCTAATCAACTTCTTTTTTTTTTGTGTAAAATGAGTCAAAGGGTATCCCAACGACCCCGGAATAGCTCTACATGTTTTTCTTCATAGTATTTTAATTTCATCTTGTTGGGAATTTCGTCAATCCGTACAACTTAGATGCGTAATTAGCCCGATGCTTTACATTTACCTCAATAATGTACTATTCGTAAGGAGAAATGTTCTAACTGGATGACTCGAGGAGGTTTTTTTTTCAAACAATGCTCTAAGCAAAGCGTACTTCGAAAAATAATGTTTTAGTGATGTGTAATTTATCAATCTTATGAATGTAATTTAAAGAAAGCTTAAATCTTCACAATCCATAAGGTACATACTTGGTTAGATGATATTGTAGGACTACTTTTTAGGAGAAACAAAGCAACAATGCTAATCAATTGTAAATTTTAAAGGTTTTCATTTCTACAATATTATGTGGGCCCTTACTTGAAAACAATTCAGAATGACGTAAATCAAAATTTTTTGCTCCCTTAGAAACAAATAAGTGAAAATATAAGCATATGCCATTTTATAAAAAAAAAATAAAACGACCAAGTTTTATTGCGTCAAATTTGTAAACGAAAAATGCGCTACGATGTTCGAAGTCTTAGGTATAATTAAAACTCACTATTCTGGTCTTTAATATTATGTTGCAATAATAATTCCATGTAGGATAAACACTCAGACCTACAATAATACGATTTATCGCGTACGCGCATATTTGAAATTTAATTTTGCTAGCCTGTGTTTTTGCCAAAATATCATCCCTAGGGTAGTTATATTTTTGACCACGAGCCGCTCTTGGGATTGGTTTAGATTGTTATCGTACGTCTACGATATACACAAGGAGATAAGTAAAATGATTCACATTGTAGTCCTATTGTAACGAAGAACACAGAAATGTATTTTGTACCTTGTATTAATTAATTTGATCCTGTGACTTTAATTTGAATCATCCTTAAATCGTAGAATATAAATTTATATCGCGAGAAATTATTTTTAATCATAATTATTAAAAACAACATGATGTTTACATTGCATTTGCCCAATTGTGTTAAAACGAATATGCTATTTTTACTGAACATTGTACAACTATTCGCATGTACAAGTTGAAATACCTATTTTGCTTCTCTCGATATACTTTTTTCGGCCATAATAGAAATAGGATGATTGTTTTAAAATAAAACTGATTACAGTTAAGTTTTGTTCGTATTTTGCCACCGTAGGCCTACTCAAACGGTACGTCAAACAGTATTGCGTAGATATGACGGTAGACTTTCATAGAAGATAGTTTTGTGTAAGTATTTGTAGGCAAAAGCTTACCTCTTTCCGTTTCTTTGTGAGCTCCGGCTCGGTGAACTGTTCCTTGAAGTACTCGAAGAGTTTCGCCCTCCGCTCATGGTCCGGCTGGTCCTCCACCATCAGCAGGTACGCTCTCCAGTTGGACGAGTCGAAGCCCCAGTGGCACGTTCTATTCTCCAGATAGCGGTGAGCGTGACAGACGAATGTCTGAGGTGCGAACAGTCCATGGCACTCTGTACACTCTATACACCGGGCACTGCTGTCCGTGTACAACTCCGGCATACACACGCCCTTACACTTGCCGAAACACTCGTGGTACACCTTGATCTGCACTGTGATCCTCTTGTCCGCCGCTAGTAGTTTAGCTGAAGGAGCTTGTCTGTGCAGTAGTGAGGAACACAGACGTTCGGCGTCAGTCTTGGTGATGAGTCCGCACGACGGAGCCGTCGTCGGCAGGATCCCGGACACCTTCAACTCCTCCAGTTGTTCGGGGTTACACCGCGAGCAGAAGATCTGCAACTCGTCGCACACCTGGTTGATCTGCGGCAGACTGAAGTCTCTCAACACACTGTTGAGTATGTGAGGCAAACACAGTCTCTTCTCGCCACCGACCACGAAGCACGATATCCTCTCTCCCTCGAGTACGGTCTCGGACCTCTCGCTGTGAGAACGGTCCGGGGTGGTGAGGATGGGCGGCTGCTGGACCGGCAGAGGAGGTGTCGGCTCCGGCGAGTACGTCGAAACCTTCACCCGCGACGGCTCCTCCGAGAGCACCGTACTCGGACCCTGCAGACTCTTGACCGCACTGAGCTGGTAAGTCTTGAGCACTTTCTTGAGGTGCGGGTTGTACTGCTGACCTATCAGCGTCTCCATGTCGTAGGGACGTCAGACCACGCAAGGCTCGCAGCCCGCCACCACCGCGCGCGTACACAACATGTCTGGCCGCCCGCCGCCGAGCCTACACTAGAGCGCTCTCGCGGCCGGCGCTGGTAGCGACTGCGCGACAGGCGCTCGCCGCTCACAACGATCGATCCTAGACCCACAAAAATGCGTCACCGTCACTGCTCTACTAGCTTTACGGTTCTCGGTGAACTATCGATCACCCGCACAAGCACTAGACACTCGACACTACACGTACTGCACACACCGAGGGTGCGTCCCAGGGAGAACGCGACACTCAAGTGAGGCTGAGCCAGCCAGCGCCAGACGTCGCTCTCAGACTTGTCTGCCATTTCCCCTCCCTCGCCCCTCCATCACCCCTCCCCCCGGCACCGCGAGCCGCGTCAAAATAACTGCCTGTCGCCGTCACCGTCGCCGAACACAGCACAGCACAGCAGCACAGCAGCACAGTAGCACAGTAGCACCTAGCACCGCAGAGCAGAGACGACGTTGACCTTATTAACTTTCTTCGAATCGATCAGCCAAGTATGGTCGGCGGAATTGGGTTAAACACGCGTTGCACTGCACGACCACCTTGGCCTTTACAGCAGCACTTCAGCGATAGACTTCTATGTGATGTAATATCCTGACACAGCATCTGTACATAAATATATCATAATCTATTGTAACAGTAATAAGACCAGTACATGATACATGATTTTGATTGTACGTCAGCCCTAAGAAGCGCAGCTATCGCGTTGAACCTAGAAACCGATCAAGTAATCCACGTAAACAGCGATAATGAATTCGTCCTCTGATATCTAAATATTAGCAATTGGAGAAGATTACAGTAATCAGAAAATCCAAACTGTTTCTTTGTAAACCTACTGACTTGTTCAAATAGAAGTGCTGGTATGATAATATTTTTGTTGGGCATCACTCACCTTATTGAAATCACGAGAACGTAGTCCTTGTCATGTCACAATCATACACAGTTCATTGCACATTCGTTTAGGAATAGAAGTGCTGGTGCCATTGAGAAAGTCATTGACTTTATACTATACTATAGTCAATGGCTATGGCCATGGCTATCCTTGCACTTTGCACTATAGATGGCTATGATGAATTCAGCTAAGTACACTGTATAATGAATGTTTACATTTGTTTACTGTAAGTACGTCCACTTGTGATCTAGCTAGGTTACACCTTTTTTCAACTGTCGAGAAAAATTCCAAATTGGATAGTGTATGCAGACGGGATGAGATTCCAGGTATTCTTCGATTCGAAACGTGATCTAATGTTCGTGGTTATAAATTCAAATGAGATCCACCGAGCTCCACTGAGAGTTTATTGAAATTTGAAACGTGTGGACAAATGTTATTTCATCCCACATTGTGTCTATCGTATGGAATATTCTAAGTGTGTAAAAACCCAAAACTGATAAAAAAATCAAGACTTTCAATCGCGATTGTTTAAATTTGTTTCTAAATGAAACTTGGTATAAACGTATGAACCTACATTTTTATTCGAACGAGTTCGCGAACCAGCATGATCGGGCCATGGGAACAGGGGTTTATGGGGGGTTTAATGGGATAAAAATAGATTTTTCCCATTTTTGACCCAAAAAACATAACATTTTGCAATTTCTTTCCAAACCATTTTGAAGAGATTAAAAAAACACAAATAGTTTAGTATATTGAAGCGTTATTATGCGCCTTGTTACGGGGAAAATTCCAGAAAAATGTTCCCATGTTATTCTTATGGAGAATAAGTAAACTGTTGTAGTTTGCTTGTTTATGAACATATTATGATCAAATTTGGAAAATGCATTTATTTCTAAACTATTAACATTTTACAACAAAACACACTTTTACCCTCCCTGTTGCAGCAAACCTAAGTACTCGTTAAGTAATTATATTTGTATAAGGAATGAATGTGATATTTTTAAGGAGAAATTTTAGTGTAAATCCAATCAAATGGTAATTCACTTACTCTGCAGGTTTGCTGCGGCGAGGGTATTTTAATATCGAATAAATGAGTCACAAAATAAATTACATTAGGTCTATAATAGTACTGTTGATAAACCAACACACATACAGACAGTGAAAGGATGTTTGGGTCGGGTAATTCCGGAAGTAGAGCTAGGTGGCGCCTGCAGCTCATTTTGGCGGGAAATGGCTGGGATAAATCATGTGTATCGCCATAGAGTAGTAGAATTATGCGGAATAACAAAATATAGCACTATATCAAATGTATTGGGACCGGGCGCCAACGGGTCGACTACTTAACAAGTAGACCTAATGGGGTATATGGACTATATTGTTTTATTTGAATGATTTAGTTTTAGTAAATATTTTGTACGTAACACTACGGCTTGTATGATATATATAGCCTTAAAATGTAAGTACTAATCATAAAAAGTTAAATGTACAACTAAATGTTTGGGCAAGATTTCTTGTATGGATCCTAATATGCAGATTTATAAATGGGATAGTTATTAGTTATTGTTAGTAAATAATAAATTGTACATTTATAGATTTATAAATATAAACGCTGACATTGCAGGCGGAGTATAAGCAATTACCTCCGAACATGTCTGTGCTGAGGTTGTATTCACGATTTGAAGGCGCCACAAAGACGATTTAGATTTAAACGACGTGATGTCAAAATTTCAATTTTTAATATCTTGGCACTTTTTAGGAACACAGTTTATACAATCACAATTGTGTGGATGGAAATAAAAAAAACAAACGAGTTTTTTTAGCATCGTTGTTTTGTAGCTCGCTTAGTATCTTCTTATCTGTATAGTTAACTAACAACTAATATTGATATGATTACTGTATGAAGATTGTGCTAATAAATCACTTATGTATTACCTGTAAAAAAATATGCTTCGATATATTTTTTTAGGAATATTATTTCTTTCATAAAAGATATAAAAAACAATTGGCCATAGTCACTACATAACTACGGGCAATTGTTTTTTATATATTTATTATTTTTTAGATCTGGTGCTTCCTTGAGTTACCGTACTAAATATACTTTCAGGTACTAAATATTGTAATTCACTGGTATCCTTTCCACATAAAGCTTCTCAGAACAAAAACATCGTAAGTGCCTTAGAAATCTTCGATGAAACTGTACGTTGTCTATCATATCGATAGTGATCCATATCCAAAGGTAGTCATACCGAAATTCAGCCGTTGAGGTTCAGGAGCACACTCCGTTGGTTGGCAAATGAAGAGAAAACCAAAATCGTGAATCACAATTTACGACATTGCACAAATAAAAAGTCAGAGAAATAACTGTGCTCTCGTTCGACATTGGAAATGATATATATCAGGTGGTTTGATGTATGAAAGGGAGACGGAAAACGTCTCAACTTACCATCTTTTACCCCAATGGAGGAGGATAGTTTGTTAAACGTCAAAATATCTATTCCCGAATTTGCTATCGATGAAATATGTTTACAGTGATGTTTATGGCGTTTGATAATTTATTGCAGTCTAAATGTAGGGTATTGATCTTTCGGCAGAAATTACGAAATGTTAAACAATCATTTAGAACCATTTTAAATATGTTAAACAGAATCACCTAACCTAACCTACTCAATTATACAGGCAAAGAGGGCCACTTGGTGGATTTAATGAATGTATCGGGTGGCTCCCTGGAGTAGTTTGCTCAATTCAGGAATACCCAAATACCTGTCTGAGGTCGGTTGGTGCAATTAATGCCCGCCACTCATAGTCTTATGATCAGTTTTACAAGCACCGTAATACAATTTTAGAAAGAAAACTTTTTTAGAAAATCTTGGTTGCTACATTTGGTTTTAGGTTCATGAAAGGTTGCCGATTTGACCCCGAGATAAATTATGTAGCTTTTTGATGGTTAGAAACTAGACCTTTCTGACCTTGATTATTGCATTGTTATATGGTCATTGACTAATTAAACAGCTGGTATTAGAGTTGTTTATATCGTTGGTCAGTCAGTGACCATCACACTCCATTCTAGACTCATCCTTCGCTCATATTTGGAAATGCGCACATATCATTATAGGTTGCGTCCGCACTCCACACAAAAACTAGGAATTAAAAAAAATATATCAAATTTCAGTTATTTACCAAAAAGTGTTCTACACGTACAGTTCTTCCTAAACAGTTTGAAGTAACTATAAGTAGGTTTGGCCAAATTGTTAAAATTTTATTATTTTATTTTTGGTGTAGGCCTACTTCTAAATTTTAACAATAAAAAAATGTTGAATATGTAATAGCATTTTTATATTTTGGTGGTGTTTCCTTTAACAGAATCGAGTTTCCTTTTGTTTCCGGGGTGATTACCTAAAGTTTGATTTTCACATATTTTAATTTACAGAAACGAATGCACCTCAGGTTCTATGTGAGATAATCTAATCAATCATTTATTTATTTCGAATGTCATAATGTATTCTACAAACTGTAGCATGTATTTACACATATTCAGTATTGAAATATTTTTCATTTAATTATAAAACGATATTTTGGAAAATTAATTCTTATATTGTGTGATATAATTTTTACATTTATAACTAGTGGATCAAGATATAATTTTTGATTGAACATACATGTGCTCTACAAAATAAAATTTACATCATCAAGATATCTCATACCTACATTAAGATTCTTAAGATAGATCTGTTCCCGTGAATATTTTTTTATATTTAGTAAAATCATCCCTAAGAGGGGGGGAGGGTAAGAAGGGTAAAAATAAAACCCCAATTTTCTTTTTTTACCTTAAAACTAATGTGTAAAAACTAAAATATTTCATACATAAATACATTTTTATTTTATTTTTAGCGGAGTGCCCTGATAATGATGTATTGGGTCCTTAATGCATTACTAATCTTAATCAACTCTTTTTAATTTACCATTTACTTCCATCAGATAATTGTAATAAATACGGAAGCTAAGTGCCAAGGCGTCTACAGTTTGACTTGATTTGATGAGAACAAAGAAGTAGCAGAGAGGGAATCTTACAGTTGATAAGGGAAAGTTAATTGAAAGGAAAAGTGGAAGGGGTTTGGCGAAGGTGGGGAGGGGAGGGGTTGATAAGAAGCTAATCTAGGGCGCTCACTTGCTCACTTTACTAGCTGACTTCGACGGCGACGCCATCAGAGAAAACTAGCTTTTGATTGAACCAAGTGAAGTGGATTTCCGTGTGGCATTGTTTAGTGCTATCCGAATTCCAAACATGTACGTTTTGTCTGATACAACTTTTGTAGTTTCTGAAACACAAAGTAATTTATTTCCCTTGGCCCCTAAATTTATAAAGGATGTT